AGGACCAGACCATCCGTGATGATTTATGCAGAAATGAAAATGAAGGGGAAAGATCTCATTTTGGGGATCGAAAAAAGCTGCAAGCTTTCCTTTCTTTATGGATGTGTATGGACTAAGACATGGGAAGGAGATCCGAGTTTAACTGGGAAGGGAAGGGGAGGAGTGCACATGACCTTTATTTTGTTTCTTCCCTTCTCAACGTCCATGGTTTCCGCCTTCCTTCATCTCCCCATTCTTTCTTCGGTTGAGACTGAGGCCCAGGAGTCATTTCTGTGACGGAACGGCAAGAGTGGCACTAACTAATTAACTAACTAACTTCCCTGTAACTAACTTCTTAACTAGAGAAGCCGCTCCTCTAGGTGCCTGTCCATCCTCTGGGGGAAGTGGGTAAGACGGGAGGATGCCCACCTGGGACTGCTTGATCTGCTAGTCCTGTGTTCAACAGAAAATTCAAGAATAATTTTACTACTGCTAAATTACATGACTACATTCAATTTTAAAAAATACTTTTTCACCCAGCCGGTGTGGCTCAGTGGTTGAGCAGGATGTTGCGGTTCAATTCCTGGTCAAGGCACATGCCTGGGTTGCGGGCTCTATCCCCAGTAGGAGGCAGCCAATCACTGGCTCTGTCATCATTGATGTTTCTGTCTCTCTCTCCCTCTCCCTTCCTCTCTCTGAAATCAATAAAGACATATTTTTTAGAAAAACAAAAAAAAACCTTTTTCTTTGCATCACAGCTCTTTAATCACATGCCTTCTGTTTTATTATAACTCATTTAGAGTGAGAAGACCCTCTGTTCTTTTGCAGTGCCTTAGAATAATCTCTAGGGGGGCAGATTGGGTTTTCTTGCTCTGATTGTATTACTATTGAATCAGTAACATGCTACACCTTTAATGCATTTCTCACTGTAACATTTTTTAAATGATTGCAGTGAACTTTGAGTGATGACTTTGGTTATTGAATTAGGGTGGAAATAATGATGGGGGCAAGAGTTGGCAGGGTAAAATATAGTAATAATAATAATAGAAGCAAGTCCAGAATATGGGACTCTGTTATGAGGAGAGCTGAGCATGCGTGCAAAAGTGCAACTGATCACAGAACAGATGGAGCCAGGGGGAGACTGAGTGATAATTGTTCCTAAATCAGGGTGGAGTTAAGCTACAGTTGGCTGGTGGGTGAGAATGGGTTGATGATCAGACTGGGGAGACTTACACCCAGAAGTGGGTTTGATTTGTTTACTTGACCCCTTACTAGTACTGAACTTGGGGTTCACCACTTGGGTGCTCTATTAAAAAAAAACAGATATGGTGGTTGCTGTCCCAGAGTAATTTTAATTACTTGCAGAAAGTAAAAGAGATGGGGGATTGATATCCAAAGCTCTGCCTCCTCAAAGGGAGGCTTAGCCCTTGCTCATGTACACTATTTGGTCAGTTATACATTGATTTCTTTGCTGTTGGCTATGTTTACCCCCTGAGTTCCTGTGAGCTCATCCTGATTATAGCTGCATCTGCAAAATACTATGCTACATTTTAACATTTAGCAAGAATAGCATTTAGAACTGCCTAGACCTTGAGACCTTTGTCCTATCTAACATGATCATTTGTGGAGGCCAGCTTTTTATGTATTGGAAGCAAGTGAACAATAATTAGTAGCAGGTAACTCTGACTCATTTTCTTAAACTGACAGCATCAGAATTGCCTTTGCAATGACCCCTATTAGCCACAAGAAACTCTATAACTCATGTTCCCTATGCTTTCCTCCTTGATTTTGCTTTGTTTGATATGCAGGGAGATTTAGTGGGTCCGAATGGCACCCCCTCCCCCAACCTGTGTAGTTCAGGGCTGACTCTGCACTTAATGCCACTGCTTAAACCATTTCATTATTTGTAAAGGCCCATTCATTTACTCTAATGTGCACTTTTCAAACCCTTTATGAGGTGTTGTCTTGATATTTCTTACTCTCCTAGGGGCTGATGCAAAGTGTCTATTTTGGAATAGAAGCAAAAATCGTAAGTAGAAGGCACTGTACAGCTGTCTAACATTGTGGACTCTACTACCTTTAAAAAGAGAAGTGTGTTATTTGAAATACCACCACTTAACAAAATTGTTTAAAAGTTCCCTTGGTGTTTTGATTGTTTATTTTTAAAATATTGGCTCTATGGCTGTTAACGCCAACTTAAACGACCAGCATTGTCAGACATATTTATCGGTTGTAAGAAGACCTTTGCCCTTTGCAGAAATGTACCTGAGAATGCACCTTACTTGCCACTGGGGAGTGGAGTTCTTCACAAGAAAATCACAAAAAATACAGGACGCTCTTTTTACACGGTTTGCTCCTTAGCTGAAGTCCTGCTATTTGATGGATTGGGAAAGGTAGATGAAAGTTGGGGAAATGTGGAGGAGAGGAAAGCTTGGAAGTTTCCGCTGACCACTTTCAGCATAGAATGTCACAACTATTGTTTTAACAGTTATTCTGATTGTACATTTCATTTTTGACAGCAGAAAAGTGTCAAAAACATAAATCAAATTGGCCCCCACTTCAGAAGTGTATGTGTAACCTCTCAGATGGCTTCTGGAATTAGGTTTGAATTTTCTCTTGCCTGCAGTTTTGCCCACTGGTGCTGAAACTTACTGGCCAACAGTATTTTACTATAAATGCGACTTCTATCAGTTCTATGGCTTCTCTTGAAACAAAAGAATCAGAAGATCTGACTGCTAGGGTTCCATGTTCTTCCATGTCAACCATCAGTTGGAGCTGGATAGAGCTGCCTCCGTCGGGCACTGGGTTTCTTCTCTGGTTCGCCTCTGCTTTCTCTCTCATGTTATCCTCATGGCACCTGTAGGACCCTGAATTTGTGACTCAGATTTAAACAGTCCTTTATAGATGAGTGACTCTGAACTCTATTCCGCAGCCCCAGTCTCATGCAGCTTATCTCATCTGTATATTGCATCTCTGCATTTTTTATGCCTAGAAGTCCCATTGACATCCAGATTCTTTTCCATCATTTTCTTCTTTGCCTTCTCTTCCCAATTTCACTGCCACCCTCTTTGCTTTCTCAGAGTTGAATTGTTACTTTCTCTTTTGCTCCCACCCCTAACAGCTACCGAGAGAGAGTTCTCCCTCCTTGGCTGTGCTCCCTCCAGTCCACGTGCCCTGCATTTTGACTGCGTTCACCTGCCATCCCCGTGCAGCTGCGTTCGGTCCAGATAGGTGTGGGCACCAGCCTCGCAGCAGCTTGCCTTATTTCTAGTTTCTGCTCCCAACTGATTTGCAGGCAGGGACAAGAAAAGGCTTAAGCAAATTCCGTTTTCCTTTTGTCACTTTTCCTTTCAAAAAGTTGCTCTGATTTCCCATCACCCCTTATCCCAAATGGAACTCACTGTTCTCTCTTCCCGAGGCTACACCAGTTGCCTGCACATAGCCATTCTTACAAACTCAGGTTGCTGTTTCTTGACTTGGGTTCATCCGCATCTCTTATACTCAGTCTTCTGGTTCCCTGACGCGGGTCTCCTTGGATTATTGTGACTAAATATGATAATAAATGTGAAGTGCCTGGTACTGGGTAATCAATAAGCCAGTATCTCAGAGAACATCTCCAACCATACCACATGCCCACAAAGTTGAGTTACACACTCCTTGAAGGAGAGAATCTAGTTTTGCTCATCTCTGCCCTCTGATGCTTTATCGAGTGCCTAGCACAGATTAAATAGTCAAAAATATTGTTGAAAAATGGAGACAGAGCATGACTGGTGGAGATTGATTATTGTGATTATTATTGTTATTATTTCACAAATCTTTGCCATCACAGCATGAGCAGAAATATGTACAGTGGGAATACAGTACACTTCTCAACTATGTGTATTTGTCTTCGAGTGACTGCAGGATCTTGATTACCTTCTAAAGATGATGACAAGAAGTGTGAGGATTTTTTCATTATTTTATATTCTTTGGTTATTTTATTTTATTTTATTTTATTTTATTTTATTTTATTTTTTGCCTTCTATTGCTTTTCATCTCCTTAGGAATACATAATCTGTTCATATTGGTTGCATATAAATAGTATGCAAATGAGTACTCATGACATTTATGGTTAGTTTTTTTCAAACTTTAGGAATTTGGGTCATAGAGGTTCTTCATTTCTCAGCGTTTCCATTTTCTTAGTTTCTACTTGGGAACACAAAAGAGACAAATATAACCATTGGAGATTTCTGAGAGTCTTCCCCAAACTCATTTTATTTGAAAATATTTCTAGCATTATCACCACCAGCATCACCATCACTTTTAAAATGGAAATTAAATCTCATTCAGATAAATTTTACCAAGAATTGGCCTTGGCGTTTATCTCCCATTTCATGTGTTCACAAACATATTTTGCTTTGAAAAAGGAAAGTCCCAGGATTAGCAATATTGCATTTAGTATGCAAATGTAAGTTTTATAGAAATAGGGTTGTGCTGGAGATGAAATTAATTGTGACAGTTCAGCAGGAGTTTTACAGAAAAAGAAGATTAACATGTTAGGTCTTCAGTGACTGTCTTCCCTGATGCATATAATGTTAGGCAGAATGAAATCTCCATGTGCCCAAGGTCAGTGGAGGAATGTTTATTGAGTCCATAGAAATTTGAGCAGGGCACATCGCTAAGGGTTTATGACAGCCTATTTTCTTTTCTTGGCATGGGCATGAATTGATCCATTATCATCTAAATTGGAAGTCATGATGATGGTTCTTTTTGGTTCTCTTATTTATTATCTTTTCTTTATTTAAGAAACTTTTACAGAAAATGTGTTGCTTATTCTGAAGTTGCTATTATTCATCAGACCAGAATGGACAGTAACATTGTATTTCTTCAAATATAAATTTATACAAATTTATATATGTACAAATTTATATATACATATTTATATATATTTATATATTTGTATAAATGTATATACATAAAAGGGGAAGATTCTATGTAGCATGAAACCAGATCTAACGCAAATTGTTTCTTTGATTCTTGGACATAGGCTAAGTAGGACAACCTGTTATTGCCGCAAAGCTGGATTTTCTTTTGAATGATTTTTGCAATGATAATGCAGAAAATTAATTTTTATAAATTCACTTTTTTTTCTTTGCCTCCAAGGAAACCAACATGTCTGACAAAAGTGACTTAAAAGCTGAGCTAGAGCGCAAAAAACAGCGCTTAGCACAGATAAGAGAAGAGAAGAAACGGAAGGAAGAGGAGAGGAAAAAAAAAGAGGTAAATACTGGGTGTTGGGGTGTTTCGAGGGGAAGGAGAATCACTTGACTCTGAGGGGTTGATCATACTGATAAATAGGACCCTCTAAAGCATCCTGTTATAATACTTGATATGCAGTGTAGAAATAGCCCACATCTTATACAAAAAATAGATGCTAAAAATATATATATAAAGATATATATGTGTATATATATTTGTTTTTATATATATATAAATATATATATATTTGTTGTTGCTGTTAACCCTCATCAAGGATATTTTTTGCATTAGAGCAAGTGGATGGGAGGGAGGGAAGGTAGAAGGGGAGAGAGAGAGAGAAACATCGATGTGAGAAAGACATATTGATTGGTTGCCTCCCACATGCACCCCAACCAGGGCCAGGAATTGAACCTGCAACGCAGGTATTTGCCCTTGAACCAGGAATCAAACTGCAACCTTTTGGTGTGTGGGCCAGCGCTCTAACCATTGAGCAACACTGGCCAGGGTGCTAAAGATATTTTTGAGTAGTTTTCCAAGAAGGAAACTTTGTATGGTATACTATGCTTATGTATATAGAAAACAGAGCTGCTTCTTAATTTAAGAATTTTTTTGATGCCTCACAATCTAAGTAAATGTTGTTTCATACTCTAAGGCTTGGGAGACCAACGGAACAGATTAAAACGGTTATTTTCCGACAAAGTAAAGCATAAGTGCAGTTGCATTTTAGCCTTCTGGCGTCCTGTATCTCTCCATTCCACACTGAGATTGATGCTATAGTTTATTTGTACTCCACGGTGCGCGTAATCTTTTCCCTTCGGAGATCTTTGCTGTTACACATGCATCTTTGAGTGAAGTGGAGGTGAGAATTGACAAGGAATGGCTATTCACTTATACACAATGCCAAAAAAAGCATTAAGTTATGATGCTTCCTTTCCTTCCCGTGTCAACACATGCTGTAGTTTGAAAGCACCTGTTTTCCTTTACTAATAACCGGTTTCCTTTTAAACTGACGTTCTGATATCCAACTTGAATTTCACAGAATTACCACAAAATGCAGTGTGATATGGGAAATCTGGTTCTGAATTTTCCTGTCTGCTTCATCTTTGTCAGTTTGGACTGATTGAAACAGGCCACCCGTTCTGTTTCTGCACCGAGCAGCTTTGCCGGCTGGAATTTGGCTTGTTGCACAGCAGACAGAGCCCTGGGGGCTTGGGGGTGGCAGGTGGTGGGAGCGTGGAACACCTGGATTGTAAGCATTTCTGGGCCTTGACCTAGTTCTGGAATTAAAGTCACATAGTCTTAGTTTCCTCATTTCTAAACTGTCAGGGTGGTTTAAACTCATGATATCCTGACTCCCCTGGTAATACAGAGTTATAGTCTCCCATCTCAGAGTTTTTAACTTGAAAGATCCAAATGGAGCCAGATTGGGGGATTCACTGGACTACATCATGTTTAAGCTTGGCCCTGGCTGTACATCCTGTCCCTCTGCAACTCATCCCCACCAACTGTACTTTTCTCAGTTCTGTCTAAGCACCTTTTGTAGACTGGGAAGACTTGGTTTGTCTGAGCAGCCAATGCTGAGAGACAGAAGACAGTAAACTCAGGGGTTATGCATGCAGGCTTCTGAGTGGAACCCGGCTGGGAACCTGGCTCTGCCCTTCTCAGCACGGCCTGGACCAGGGGTGAGATCTGCTCTGAAACTGTTTCCCTCTGTAGAATGGAGAAAAGAGTGGCGCCTTTCTCACGCGTGCTGTGAGGACCCAGCAGGCACTGTAGAGCAGTGAAAGACACAGAGCTGTTATTGGCGCCTGAGGTCAGCTCCCAGAGTAGGAACAGGCAGCCCTGTAGATGCCTGCCCATTTATCAGGATCGCTCTTGGTGAGGCCATTTTCTGAAAATGCCCCATTATTGGAAGAGTCTTATAATTCAAGGCCTCTAGTTTTCAGGAATTATAGCATTTTGTTGCTGAAGGAAACCTGGAAGTAATCTATTCTGATCCCTCTTTTTCAGATGCTCTTAAATTCCAGAGGCCTGAGCCTTCTAGGTAGCAGCCCTCTCTCTCTCTAGTCTCAGGACACCCCCCACACACTTCCAGCCAGTTGTCCAAAGCAAAAATCTGGGGTCATTCTTTCGCTACCCCATTCCCCAACTTAGAATGATCATCAGGTCCTAGATAGACACAACACTTTTTCCCAGATTTTCTTCCTCCCTAAAAGCCACATTCCAGCCAGGCTTAACTACGTACATATTACTGATGTGATATTATGTAAGCAGTTACATAATATCACAGGCAGGGAGTTTGTGAATATTCTTCGCCCCCTGCTTTTACTGCTCTACTTCTCTCTATTGTCCTTCACCTGGCTGTTAACCACATGTCTTTCAGTTCTCATCTCAAATGTCACTTCCTCCAGGAAGTCTTCTCTGATGCCTTTCTGCCTCCATGACTGTCTTCACTTGTCTTTCACTTCTAATAGAGTGTCAGTTTTGAGGACAGGGCTGGATGTTTTGCACCATTGAGCCAATGTCTAGCGCAGATGTGGCCACTAGCAGTAGGCCTTCAATTAAGGATTATACAGGGGCAGGCAAAAGTAGGTTTATAGTTGTAAGTACGCAAAACAGTTTATTTTTGTATTATTATTTGTTAATTACTGTATTATTTACCTGTATTACAACTGTATGAGTGAATGAATGAATACATAAACTAGTTAGGGCAGACCTGAGATGCTGGTCACACATCCTTTCAATGAATCTGGGATTATTTCCTGCACATTTCCTTGGAAGCTGTTGATCCTGAGTCTACCCATAGATTGGCCACTGTCATTGACTCCTGACAATTTTCTAGTTTTTATGTTGTTTACGGAGAGTTAGAAATAGCCTTAAGCTTACAGGTTTGAATTTAACTTTATTTAGGCTTATATTGTAAATAAAACAAATTTGGAATAAAAAGGAAACAAAGTGATCTTTGATGCTAATCTGAGTAACTATTTTTGCCATGACTGAAAGCTAGTGTGAGTAAGGACCACCCAGGTTGATTGTCCCCACAGAATCCAGAAAACTGTGTACATGTATAAAATTACCACTCTCTGCTCCTTTGCATGTCAACTGCTTTCTTGGTTGTGGTATTATGGATGAAATCTGATTTTAAAATAAATATAGTGGCTGCCATTTAAGACACAGCCCAATTTCATGAAAAATTGGCCTCATTGCAATGAGGTGTGCTTAATGGGGCCACCCTGAAGTTTCGTCCTGTCCTTGGCCTTCTGCCGAATTGCTGCAGGGTAGGATGGACAGAGGTTTCCTGGCCTGTCCTCACTTGTTCCTCTAATAACACGGAGTTGCCTCTGGAAAAGTGACTGATAATTCTCAGCTGACAGTTTTTCTTTGTTCGATTATTTTCCCTGGGTCTCAGCTGTAATTACCCTTCACAAACAGAAATATCATTCTCTGGGGAAGGCACCTTTAGCATATCTTTAATTACTAGTACTGCAAAATCACTCTTTATGGAGTCATTAAAATATATTAGGATTTTGTAGTATTTCTGTGGAAAAAATGGAAAGTTTCATGATTAGGGTATTTGGTGTAACTGTCTTAGGTAAAGTAACATTTTGTTTAATGTTAATCGTAACAGATAAGAACTGCCTTTATTTTCAGTAAGCTCCAGTAACTTAATTTTACATTTTTCATGGTCAACTTTGAGTGCTGATAGCTTTCCTAAGCTTCTGTTACAACTGAATTGACATTTGTCCTTATTAATATATATCATTATATTCTCTGTCTCCTTAAGAATTAAAAAAGATGGGCCCAGGCCAGTGTGGCTCAGTTGGTTGTGTGTTGTCCTAAGCACTGAAAGGTTGCGGCTCATTCCCAATCAGGACACATGCCTCGGTTGTGGGCTCCATCCCTGGTAGGGGGATGCAGGAGGCATCCTATTGATGTTTTGCTCTCAAATCAATGTTCCTCTCTCCCTCTCCCTTTCTCTCAAAAAATCAATAAAAAAAATCTTTTTAAAAAAAGCAGGGAATGAGCTTAAAGGTGGAATTCAGGTGTACTTTTTTTGCACAATGTATGGTTATGCATGTTGACATGTGATTTGCCCTCTAGAATATTTCCTGAATGCTTAGTGATTAACATTAGAATAAATTATTTTTTAAAAAAAATGATTCTTTGCCTTTCTGCATAGGACATACATGACAGAAAGTTACAGGTAGTATGCCCTAAATTTATTCCAAAGGGAAAGATTAGGTAGATCTTTTTCTGTTCATGCTATACAAGCTGCATTAGGACTTCTCTGTTGTCCTTCAGTAAGTTTTTGTTGAAAGAATGAAGGAAGGTTAAAGATTTTTCATTTTTGATCTTAGAATATAGAAATGGCTTTGTTATGAGCATGGGGTCACTGCAAGTTTGGATGACTCCTTGTAACAGTGGTGTGGTAAAGGACTTTCTGAATGGGGTACAGTTGGTAGAAGGTTCTATAGCTATAGAATAACATTTACCAAAGGCAGATAGAATTCATTCGTTCATTCAACACATTTTTATTGAGCATCTACTATGCGTGAGGCCCTGACCTAGATGTGAGGATAGAGTGGTGAACAGAATAGACACGTATCTGCTCTCAGTAAAGCTGATGGTCCAGCTGTGGCTTAACTCTTCACTGTAAAACCCATTATACAGTTCCACATTGGCTTCCTAGGATGAATTTTGCTTATCTGAGTTCTTTCATTTGTATTTCAACAGCTGCTATGGTAATTCCCCTTTCTTTCTTTGTCCCTCTTTCCCTTCCATCCATCCGTCTTTTAACTCGGTGATATGTGAATGTTGACATAGCTCCTCGCTCTGCAAGGTCCTTTTTCTCATCTCAGTTCTGCCTTTGCCTCTGTTGTACACATAAACTTGGAGACTTGCTTCAGTAGTTTAAATGTTAAAACTGGAAAAGACCGTGAACTGTGATATCTTCACTGATAGAGATCAAACTGCCTTCAGAATTTTGGGTTACGAGAGACTGCCCCAAATCCTCTCGTGCTCTCACTAGACCTTATCGACCCCCATAATGGCTGGTTTCCTTCTAATGACAGGTAGACTTCAAAAATATGAGTGCATTTTAAGCCCAAGGCAAAGAATAAGAGAAGTGTTGAGCTCAGCAAAGATGCATTTTGCTTATAATCAGGGCGTAGCTTCCCGTCCGGGAGTAAGTCAGCGGTGCGGGAACTCTTTTTGCTTTGGATGCCAGGACGTAAATGACACTTCGCTGCTTCAATGCCATCTGCGCTCCCGAACGAGGGAATGTGCCTGTTGGGGTGCCTGTTGGGGTGCCCAGCTCGCCCCGGGGAGGAAGGTGTGTGTGATAACGGCACCATTGGTTTTTGACAAGCTTCAGGGCAGCCTCACTTCCCTAAACTCGCAAAGCTTTGTCGAGAGGTAGCTACACATCAAATAAGATGTGTTTCAGACTTGGGGCAAATGCCTTGTCTTAAGAAGTAACTGTGTTATGCAAAAGAGAAAAAGACCTGAATGTTCAGTTCCCCCAGCATCCCACCACCAACCTTCTTTAACCTGTATTTGGACTTGTCACTATCCTGTAAAACACAAACTGGGCATAGGATCTGACTGTAAGAGGCTCACATAAAATATGATTTTTAGACAGAACTGGGGGAAAAGTGATTTTTTTGTTCTATATTTTTCTATACAATTTTCTATTTTGAGTTAATATATACAATGGAAGTCTATGGAAGTCAAAAGTAACACATAACAAGACTTATATTAATATTGTTTACATGCCTTAGAAACACTTTAGCACGGTTTATTTTAAATCGTGGTAAACTTAGATTGCTGGTATGAATAGTGTATTTTAGTGACCGATTTTCATAGCTAATTTTCATAGCAGAACATTTTCATAGCAGATTCCAATAATTCCTTGTTTGCATAATCTCTAACATGGGGGAAGGTATTACAAACACACAACCATCAGGAACTGATAGCATGTTTTCCCAGAAGGTACAAGGAGGTCTGAAAAAGCAGACGGAATTTTAAAAAACTAATTTGCCTTGATGGTTTCTCCCCAAACCAGTGAGAGAAAGTTTTATAACCATGTGATAGAGACAGGAAAAGCCTTCAACCCAAAGAGAAAGCACCGGGTTGGTAATTATTAAATGGAGCAGTTACAGTTCTTTTTAATCCTTTATACACATGATTATATCTATTTAGGGTTTTTGCCTGATCTTCGCTGCCATGCATATGCCGTTTTCAGTCTCAGCCAGGAAAAGCACACACGCAGTTCTGTTATTAACTTTTCTTACTGGCATCTACTTTTGAAAGGCCGACATGCAGCAGAAGAAAGAGCCAGTTCAGGACGACTCAGACCTGGATCGCAAACGCCGGGAGACGGAGGCTTTGCTTCAAAGCATCGGTATATCGCCGGAGCCCCCTCTAGGTACTTGCAAATGCTCTGCGTTACTCTTTCCTTACATTTTAACTTGCATGGGATATACCATGTCCAGCGTTTACTCTTCTTTTACGTCTTTTTTTTTCTTATTTTTTAAGAAATTCCACAGCTTATGGTTCAGGCGTATTTAATTTTGGAATTGAGGGGGCTGGAAGTAGATGGAAGGACAGGTTGTAGAGTTGTTGGCAGTTGCTGCTTATTGACTGATTATGTGGTCATCTGGCTCCACTGTGTTACGATTAGGTTATTTTATACTTGTTAAATGAATTGCCACATGGTAAATTCAAGAAATATTGGGATTTTTTTCTTAAATGGTTCTTCGTTTCCATTGCCGAATTCCAGCCTCTCTCTGCCAACCTAAATACGGTGAATCTGGTTATGAATTTCATAACCACAGACATAGTTATTCCATGATGAAAATAGAATGTTCAGTGGGAAATTTGAAGGAAAACTTAAAATGGTGACGGATTAGCAGCTAATTAACAAGTTTAAATTTATGTGACTATTGTATATCTTGGTTTTATTGCTAATTGGCATTTTCACTATAGTAACCCTCCTCCAACTCATTCATTCCTAGTTAATTGTCCATGATCTCATTTTATCACTTGCAGTTGGATATTGAACTATTTGTTTTATTTGTGTTGAAGGTAACCTATACATATTGTGTTTATTCTGTCACTTAACTGTATATTTCTCATATGATAAGTTATTTTATTTTTCTTTATCCATTTGCTTTCCTTACATTTCAGAGTAATCTTAGGGTGACTGTAAAACTATGTAATATCCAAGATAGTTTAAAAAAACACTTTTAAAACAATACATATAAATAAATAAAATATCAGGTTGCTTTCTTAAAATGGTCTCTTTCCTTTTAATTTTATCATTGGCTTTTATATTAAATAAGTGTTCACTAATTTACATAGTTGCTTAAACTAAGAACAAAAATTATCCCATGTACAATAAAATAACAAGTATTTATATCAATGTGTCTAAGAAAAAGAGCAATATTTAATAAGCCTACAAATTATTAAGTGTTGCTGAATATAATTTAATATGTACACACAAAACTAAAACACCATGAGGAAGCATTTTATAGTCAACTTCAATTTGTAGTAGGTAAAATCATGTCTAACAATGATTGTAATAAGCCTCAATAAGGTATTGATTATTTTGTTTAGCTTCTTACGGTGTGGAAGATATAACCTGTAGGATATTTGACTGATGGACCATCTTGGATGAGTTTGACAAACTTAGTTGACATGTGATATAAATGAGACACTTTGTAATCAATTCTATTTTCCCCTCAAAATAGCTTTGCACAGTCTTGCAATGTGAATGAGCACTGGTTAAACACAATAGTAGTATGTCCTGTTGTTCCCCACCCTACATAAAGCCGGCAAATAAACTTTAAGAATAAAGCAGTTAAATATCTCTAAACCATAACCAAATTCTGAACTATCCCTGCATCCCTACCAGCAGGCCTTGGCAAGGGTGGACCCCGTTTTGAATTTCCATCCGTCTGTCTGACTTACCCTCTGACTTACAGTGCGGATAATCAGGGAATTAATTGTGGGACCACATGAAAATTCCTAGTTTCTTGACAGATCTGCCATTGTGTTATAGGATTTGGACAAAATAGTTAAACCCTTTACCCTATTAAATAAATAAAGGGAAATTGCACATGATTGAAACCAAATGGGAATCCACACTCATGGACTGAGGTTTCTTTCTGCCCATATGGCTTCTTTGGCATGTGTGATATTGAGAACCCGTTGAATTCGCCTGGCCTGGAGCCACCGTGGCTGTTTGGTGCAGCTTCTGTCTGAAGGACGTTTGGCGCGTATCTAAAGGATAGAGGGGAAAAAACACATTTGCATTTTCTTTAGCTTTCTTCTTGCGTTATCCTTGCTCTCAGATTTTCAGCTGGCACTGACCTCGATCTCTCAACTCATTCCTCCTGTCTCCAGAATGGCAGTTTGCTTATGTGCACATGGCAGTGCCATCCTGAGCTGCCAGAGGCAAAGAACACAAGTCCCAAACACAGTAAACAGTACAACGGGATGAAACTATTAATTAAATGTAAAAATAAAGCACCCTAGCATTTTTCTTTGTTTTGAAAGAGATTTTTAAATTACCAGGTTCAGCATTTACCATCCCTCTGTCACGTAGTCTCTCTTAGCAAATACAGTTTATAATCCACGGACAATAGAGTTCCCTCAAAGGCAGACATACAACAGACTTTTCTGACCCTTCTTGACCCTTAAATGATCCAGAATCACTTCATAATCTTGTAAAGTTTTATAGACACTGCATTTTTTTTTTTAATAGGTCACATCTATATTAACAAAATAAAGTGGAGAATTAGAATTATCTGGATAGTTCATACTAGCAAGATGTTAAACTTGAATTATCTGGATGCCTATTTTGATTCTCCTTTTTACTTTGTTAAGGTGGACATGGCCTTGGAATCCCTAAGTTAATTCTGTCTAAATTCATTTCAAATTTTAATTTCCAAAATATAAAAAATTCACTTGACTTTCTTCCTTTTCTTTTCTTTTCTTTTCTTTTCTTTTCTTTTCTTTTCTTTTCTTTTCTTTTCTTTTCTTTTCTTCTTTTCTTTTCTTTCTTTCCTTTTATTTTTATTTTTTCATATCCCATCTCAATCTCTCCTGGCCATATAACCACTTTAATTTGGGCCCATTTGATTTGTCTGACGCTGCTCTTCCCCAGTGCAGTCGCTGCATTTTTTAACATGGGATACCTGTTATTTTCATTATTTAGTCCCAACCCCTATGTCTCCCTCCTCGAAATCAGTGAGCACTCCCAGTGAAGCTGGAAGCCAAGACTCGGGCGACCTGGGACCATTAACAAGGTAAGAATTGTCCCTTTACAAAAGCCATGGTGGATGTCAGTAGTACCAAAAAAGAAAAAAGGAAGGCTTAAACACATATACCACTTGGTTGTGCACTGCTAAATGGGTGCGCACCTGCATGTATACTCAGTCGTTCTATGTTTAACTTTATGGTGGCTTGCTATTTTAGTGGTAAAGCAACAGTTTTGAACACTAGAAATTATAAACTTATCTATAATCCTTCTTTGAGTGAGCTAATTAACACCTGTGTGTTGTTTAGCAAACACAAACATATGCATTAGCTTGGGCCTAAAAGAAAGCAAGGAAGGACCAAAGACAAATGGAATTGGTATCTGGGTTCTCATGATCTTACTTCCGTGTTGGTTTCCACGAGAATCTTTGTGACTAGGACACTGAGATGTTCTAACCCTAAATTTCATTTTTCCAGCACCGTTTTGTCTTGATTAATTTGAGAACTCAGTCCCCAAAGTGTTCCTATTCTTATTACCAATTATGATCATCCTCAGGGTTGTGAGTCGATTGCCCAACTTTTATGACACCTTGGCTGCTTGAAGATTATGTAACTTCTGAGAGCCGATATAGACAGTCTCTAATTTGACCCCTGAAAGGATTCCATAAAGTAATGATGTGAAGAGGGCAAGGAGAAGGCTCATTGATATATGTGGAGTCCTGGTAACTTTCTTAATGCAGATGCTTTCACCAGGATCCCCACAGGCAAGTGCCCATAGGCAGGTGATATGAGTGGCGCCTGGGGGCCTATGACAACTAGTTAGCAAGCACCTTGTTTGTAAAGGCCGGAGGGTCTCCTCACAGTTCAGGCCGGTTGAGCTCATGGTGTAATATGGACCCAGTTTTTCCACATATTTCCATTTTTCATGAGAAACTAAAAATCCAAGTATTTGTGCAATAATCTCCAAGTGTCAAATGGCCATGACTTTGTTAGAAGTAGTTGTGGCCCAGATTTGGCCTGTGAGTTGGCAATTTGTGACCTTGGTCTTTTACTCTTAATTTTTTGTTTGTTTGTTTTGTTAATCCTCACCTGAGGATATTTTTTTCATTGCTTTTAGAGAGAGTGGAAGGGAGGAAGAGAGGGGGAGAGAGAGAACAGACATGGATGTGAGAGAGACACATCGACTGGTTGCCTCCTGTATGTGCCCCAACTGGGGTGGGGAGTGAACCTGACACCCAGGTACATGCCCTTGACGGGAAAGCGAACCTGTGACCCTTTGATGTGCAAGCTGATGCTCTGACCAGTGAACCACATTGGCTGGGGCGACTCTTAATTTTTTAAAGAAAAACATAAAGTACTTTAGTAAATTTAAAATAAGAGAAGAAACAATCATCCACAGCACTACAGTTCTAACAAATCAGCCTTGTGTATGTACCTTTCAATCCTGTCTTCCTGCATATATTGCTACTCTATGTGTTACTGGGGGAGAGGTATAAAATTTTGCATTTTTCTTTTTCCTCTAAACACATCATTATAAGCATTGTCTTCAGACAGTGCATTGTTTCCATTTAAGCCCAGTTGATTTTGGTAAAGGAAAATATGGAAATGAGAATAGTTTAGTATTAGCCTGAACTATAGAGTTGTATTTTTTTTTTTCCTGAAACCAACATGTAAGACTGGAATTATCCAATCCTGTTTGATAATATCCGCCTGTTGGTGTGTTTCAGATTCGAGTATGTATTTTGTTTTGATAGGGCATTTTGAAACCAGTGGACACTGCTTTCAATTTGAGAAGGAAAGTAGAGGTTTTTGTGGTTTATTTTAGCAAATAGCCTTTGTGATTTGGGGCTGCACATGTCTTCTCTCATCTTTTGCTTTGAACACTTCAAAAGGTCTTTGAGGGGAAAGGAAAAGTAATAATAACACAGTTATGTAAGATCTAACATTTATATAAGAGTTAGCTGGCACAACATAATCACATTCCTTAGGGGTCCATTGGCCTATTATTAAGTTAATATATTTGCCTCCTTCTGTGCAATGATGCCATTGTGTCCATTAATGCTTAGCTTCCAGGGGTGCAGTTAGCAGCATTAAATTTTGTTACTGAGTTCACAGTTAATGAGACCTTTTGAAAACTTTCTAGAGAAAGCTGTCCTATGCTGTTAGCATTCTGGGGACTGCAGCAATTTTTTCTTCTCAGAGACTATCACTCTTCATTTTTTTCCCCTTTCCTAGATGATTTTTTTATTAACTCAAGAAATCCCTTTGGAAGAAGTCCTGTCCACTCCTATCCCACACAAACTCCAACTAGCTTCCATTCTTTATGGGAATGTTCTGGCAAGAGTAGACAACTAGAAGTCAATGATTAAATTCCAATGAAATCTACCTAAATGTAGGTTCCATACGAATGCAAGAAAATTTGCATTAAGGAAATCATGATTTTTAGAAAAACTGAGCACAAAGTTTGCTTGAGGAGAAGGCATTAGGAATAGCTTAGTAAATCTTGCCCGTGTTTTGAACTTAGGAAAATTCCACGCAAATTTATGTCTTTGCTTTCATAAAATAGATATGAGAGTTAAATTTCAGAAGAATAATATATTTGTTTTAAAAATTACACTTGGAATGCATTTTTCTGTAGAAGAAACATCTCTGAGACAATTACTATTAACACTTCATAAAACATGAGACTGGGAAAAGAGCTTGGTAATTCCTAAGAATATAACTCTGTAGTCATAAATTTGTCTATTTGTGTGGAATTTAGACTCTGAAAATGGAAAATCTTTCAGAAGATAACTTAGGAAACAAATTAACACATCTGGTCCTAAATAAATTCTTCATTCATTTGCCAAAATTTCAAACCAAAACTAAAATTTTCTTTACAGAGCCAAATTGACAACATTTCTTACATAATCCCTATAAGTGGTCAGTTTGCAAACTGGCATACTTAATATACCTATTGTAAAGAGAAGTTTAAAACAATGCTTTTTAAAAATTAAGTGTAACAAAATATCTTTTATTTATAAGAGCAGTTAATTTTTTAAAGACTGAATAGAGAGATGGAAAATATAATAAATTTTCAGTTATAGTAGTATGATTTAATTGTTTTAAACGTAAAGAGTCACAGTTTGTTTTGCAGTATCTGCTTCTGTTGTTAGGGCCTGCTTCTCACTTTCAACTCCATTTGTGGTATTTTACTCTTTGTCTTAATCAATTTTAGTTGAACTAATTAATCATTTCTCAGTTGATTATAATGGACAAATACCAAGATCAATATTATTAATAAAATATTAGAGAGACTAGTTTTACTTATAAACATAGATGTTAAAAAATCCTAAATTTGCTGTATACAGCTGGAACTCAACACGATATTAGTGGGATACTATGCCATGGTTAATTTAGGATTTATTAAAAAATTCAAAGATATTTTAGTGTAGGAAAATGTATTAGCATAATTCAGCATATAGAAAGGTCAAAGAGAGAAAAACAATCATTGCAATATATACTGAAATGGTACTTGAGAAATTTAAACATCTATCCCCATATTTTAAAACTAAGTAAACTAGGAATAGAAATATATTTTTTTCAATAGGATGAATAGTAGTCCCAAACCAAGAGCCGACCTCTTTTAAAAGTTTATAGCCCTTAAAGAAGAATGATTGATGTTTAGCTAAATCTGTGTCTCTCTTTCTCCAGACATGGCAAATTCTTTTCAGACAGGGAGTAAGTGATATTTGAGGTTGTATCTATATAGTAGGTATTTGACAAATGTTTGTTGAATGAATCAGCTATTTCCCATATATACACACATACATATACCACCATATATGTGGTAAAAGATAGATTAAACAAACTGTTAAACTTGTTTTTGTAATCAAGCATCTTTATTTTACTATTTCGCTACATTTTCATCTTTTCTAATATCTGTACTATCTTCACTTTTTCCCAATTACAGCATAATTCCACTTGTACTAGAATTGATGTCTGGCCTCCCAGCCATCAGCTCTATTAACCAAAACCCTTATATGCATGGATTTTCTCTAGGGAGGTGAGGTCCCCTGAAAGGGGACCTAAATGCAGCAGATGAAGAAATGTTTTCTGAAGCCCTAAACAAGGGAACAGAGGTACAAAGGAAATGGGTTAGAGACCATTCAGGGTTTCAGCTTCACGTATATTCCAGACTAGCATCTGGGATGAAGGCGCAGATGTCTGCAGATCTCTGCTGATCTCTGCTGTTCAGTTTGAACACTAGGCCTCCATATAGTTAATATTGTTTCATGTTGACAGAATACTTTGGTAAAATCCAGATATTTGATAAATTCTGCCTTTCCTGATCCACTACCTAATGAATTCTTAAGTAAGGAAACGAGAATAATTTGTTCGTGGTCAGTTTGTGTGGGCGGTACCTGGTTACCCCTTTTTTTACTCAGTGATTCCAATGGAGGAAAATGTGCTAAGAAGCCACATGGGCTTAATGCCCAACAGAAAGTCCCCAGGGCTTTCATCTTTATCTACAGTCAGATTCCATAGGATTCTTTGGCACTCTGTGAACCTCACAAAACATTTGACCCTTTTTTGGTGGAAACATCAGCATCTTCTAAGGTGCTCTGATGAATCAGAGGCTAAAAGAAAGAAAATAAAATTTTAGTAAATGTGAAAAAGTACAGTAAAGTAATGCAAAACCTTGGAGGAAATTTAATAAAACTATTACAGTTTTGTACACAAAAAATTCCCTAAATTATCATTATGTAAAGAGATGCTACCAGCTCTTTGGACTTCAGAGAGCCAATATCACTGATCCAAGGCTGTTTAAAGTCAGTCTTTTTGGAAATTAAAATCAAATGTACACTGTAGGATTTTCTCTTTATGTAGCACATTGCCTGATTAGTTAAATGTCTTTGATATCACTCTGTCTTCCAGAGCGTGTGCTGTGGGTACCCATATGGTTATAGCAGCACAGGAAGCATCTGTTTTAGGAAGGGGTTGCTGAGCTTTCTTCTGGAGAAACTGCTTGCTTGACAAGAGCCCTATGATGGGAAGTCTTACATTTCTT